TTAAAAAAACCATTAATGTATATTATTTTTGCATTCAACTGCAGAGGGTGAACAGAAAAATCAGGTTTACTCTTTGTAAGAGTGGAGTTTTTTTCTGAGTAAAGGGGGTAGAAATCATCCTGGCTGTTTTTTGAGTCAAAGAAGTACATTTTCCACCATTCTTCAACTTACTCTCCTCTATCCACCACCTTTAGGAAGCCATAGATAGACCACATTGTATTTATATTCTCTGAGAGACCATTAACTCCAATAAACCCCAGTAAGGCATGCTCCTAATACCAATCCATGATACATACTTTCTAAGAAATAACCACTACTAAATCATATACCCAACCACCAGTAAACACTTTCCAATGTGTCATGGGGTTATTTCTAAATTGTGGTGGCAATACTTCAGTTGAGTTTGGTTTTCCTCATTTTACTCTTCCCTAAACAATCAAGACTAATGACACATTTAAAGAGAGGTACTAACAAGCTATAGCTCGTTTAGGGGAAAACAACCAGGATATAGAACAATCTGGAAACCAGGTGAGTAAAGGTTGCTTGAAGAAACTGGGGATGAGAAAACAAGACCTTGAGGAAGACATGAGAGTTATTATCCAGGATCAAAAGGAGAAGCTTGAGTATCTTTGCATAAAGCTTTTTCTCTATCTAGAAGATTTCCTTGGGACAAAGCATATGAACATTTTGAAGGCTCTTGAAATATTTCACCAAATTTACACTGCCAGCAATATGCTTATTCTTAACTAGGGACTTCAATAAGCTTCAGGAATTGATATCTTTATAATATTTAGTCGTCTTATCAAAGGATATGATACATATCTTCAATTTATTACATCTTTATTTATTATTGTTTAATAAAAATTTTGTTTCCCTTGCATAAGCTACTCACATTTATTATTTAGGTTATTTCAAGGTTAAACTTTTGTACAATATTTTCCTTATCAGCTATTGCTGGTATATTAGAATATATTGATGTTTGTGGATATCTTACATATGACCCTATTACTTAATTTTCATCAATGCTAATCATTTTTAGGTGATTCTTTTGGGTTTTCTGAAAGTAATTAACTGGTTTCTTCCTTTCTAATATTATACCTCTTATTATGCCTCTAATAAATTGTTTATGTTTCATGTCTTATTGCATTGTCCAGGGCTCCTGAAACAATACTAAATAATAATGGTGTTAGTGGCCATTCTTGTTATTTCAGTGAGAATCAAACTGGAAATTACAGAGTTTACAGCGAGTGACTTATTTTCTCCATAAAACACATATATCCTGTCATGCACCATGTTTCATTGGTTTCTCTTCTTTTTAAATAACAGCTTTATTGAGATATAATCCACATACCATGCAATTCACCTAAAGTCTACAATTCAATGGTTCTTAGTTTATTCAGAGCTGTGCAACATCACTACAATCAATTTTAGAACATTTCACTAACTCTCCCCAAAAAATCCATACCCATTAGCAGTCACTTCCCCTTTCCCTCCTACCCTCCCCACTCAAGCCCCAAAATCAACTTTCTATCTTTATAGATTTGCCTATTCTGGATATTTCATATAGATGGAATCATACAATATGTGGTCTTTTGTCACTGGCTTTCACTTAGCAAAAAGTTTTCAAAGTTCACGTTGATTCTCTTTTAAATGCCTTCAGTATAAGTCTCTTTTTTCTATCCTATCCCAGAGTCTCATCAGCCCTTTCTAGATCAGCAAAATAATCTAGTTTTATTTCTAGATACCTGTCTTTTTCCTTTGATCCATCTTACATATTAATCAGTTTTAGACATCATTTTTATCATGTATCATCTTTTCCCTCAAACCTTCAGTGAATTATTTTATCATTAATCAAAACTCTTTATTCTTTCATTTCATAAAATTATATTGAGTTACTATGTCCAAGATACTTGATATGAAAGTCAACTGGAGAAAACTGGAACTTATATTTTGCCTGGTATGCAAGATGCAATCTCTTTAAGTTAATTCCACACTATCCATTCAAACCCATTTTCCATTTCTCAGTATGTATCTTCTGTTATGAGCAAACTTTCCCCTGTGTAGAATATGTACACTTTTGTTCCTGTGCTTGCACCTATATTATTTCCTCTATCTGGAGTTTTACTTCTTTTCTTAACCCTTATTTAAATTTCATGTAGACTTGCTGGCTCAGATCTATTCTGGTTTGTTCTGGAAAGCCATCTTTGGTTACTTCAGCTACCGTAGATCTCTTGCGTTTCTCCCTAGACATTTACTTTTACATCATATAATTTGAGGAACTTGGTGCTGTTCTATACTCTTTGCTTTTGTTTAACATGTGATTGTTTTGCTTATCCAATTGTAGACTGAACATTTAAAAATGACAATATTTGACCATTCTTACTCATAAACATGGCAATTTTATATGGGGCAACCTAAGAGAATATAAATTGCTTGAGGGCAACAAGTCTCATACTTGTTTTAAATATCCCCTCTCTGCCAGGCACCTGAATTCTTGTTGACTGACCAAGGATGCTTTTCTGTCTTCTCCCTTAGCTGTCAGCAGTCCTATCTTAGGGTTGTCTTGGTGTCACAAACATTTTCAATCATTCTGCTGTGTGATTTGGGGAGGGGCATAAAGAGTGCATGGACCTGGTGGCAGCTCAGCTATTCTGGGACCCTTTTTTCTTCTTTAGACTTGATTAATAGCTCTTCCCATTTGTCAGCTTAGGTTCATGGCCATGTTCCAAATAGCTGAAGCTGCTAGAAGTTTTTCCTCCAGAAAAGTGAGGTAATAGTCTTAAGTTTATTTTAGAATTTACAAACATTCCTTTAATATTATAGAAGGGAAAACTTTATAATTTTCCAGGGATAAAGATATATTTAGAAGGTTTAAATCTTGTCTTTGAATACAACTACTAGCAGCACTAGGAACAGAATCCAGCCATTCTGGCTTCTGTTCTAGAGGTTTCATCACTGTGAAGAAGTTGGCTCCAGGTGTGATATCTCCTAGGGTTCTTTTTAAAAGCCAGATATATATTTATTTTGGATAATTGCTCAAAAATAAATCAATTGTCTTGCCTCCCACCACCTCCCCTCCATCACCCCAAGAGCCTTGCACCTTTCATTCTCACTTCCTAGCCATCTTGGTGGGGGCTGAAGGTTAAGGCCATATTCTACAAACACTAGGACAACGGTGGCCTCAAGCAAGATCAAAGCGTGAGGAGCCTACTACCTTCAGGTTCCAACTGAGAACGAAGAGTACAAGAGAGCTGCCGAGATGCCACTGGATCTGGACAATGAC